ATATATCATTCAGTAACTAAACCTTTTAAATATTACTATAAATGAAATCTGATTTCTGTCAGTCCAACAAAGTTAAGTCAGGTTTATTTTTTAATTTTTTTTGTGAGACGTTTCGTCCTTCATCCAAAGGACTTCATCAGTCCGAGAAGCCACAACAAACACAGTCCCACAAACAGCACACTCACATAGGGGACCAAGCAGTTTGCTATGATAAGCTGGTTTCTGGGGCCTGCCCTCTCCCCCATCAACTCCTCTGAAGCAGCCATAACCAAAGTGGTTCAAAACATCAAAGTTCATGCTCAATAATCCAGGTTAAAAATCCAACAAAGTTCAGTCTGGTCATATTTTTTAAATTTTTATTTTTATTTTTTTAATTTTGTGTCATTTCGTCCTTCATCCAAATGTCCTTCATCCAAAGGATGAAGGTCAAAACGTAAAATAAAATAAAAAAAAACTTCCAGATGACCTGAATGAACTTTGTTTTTTTTTTATTGTTTTTTTTTTTAACCTGGATTATTGAGCATGGACTTTGATGATTTATGTCAGTGTTTTATTTTATTTTATTTTCTGCAAAAGGGTTATGTTAGCTATATGTACTAAAAATGATCGTTTAATTTTTTTTTTAGTTTTAGTGTTACTTTTCTCAGTATGGATCTCTTGCTGATGATTATTACATGGAAAACCTTTTGTTTTGGTTTAATAAATGTTGTTGTTACTGTTGAAGTGGGTAAACAACGAGCCAAGATATTGCTCAGTTGTACAAATATGAATAAGACTATCTTCTCCAGTTATGTCTTATATAAACATACAACAGCCCTGTTTTTCTTACCTTGGTCCTTAACCAAGCACAGTAGACAAAATAAGTCAGTTCTTTTACCTTTAGGATGGGATTGGACAACTTTTCAGTACATTTTTAAACTGTATTCTGTTTTTAGTTACCTTGCATTTTATTCACATTATGTATGGTTGGAAGTTCACACCAGAACAAATCAAGTTATTGCAAAACGTAAGTTTCAAATGGCACGTTTCAGTGGAAGTTCAGCGGTATGTTCCTCATAAAAAAATTAATCTTGAGTTTTATTTCACCTATAATAAACACATGAGCTATTGAGGCCACATGGAAAACCTCGAGCGTCTCCAACCAGTACGACGTGACCACAAAAACCTAACAGCTGCTGCTGCATCCGATCTGCCAGTTGAAAAGAATCAAATGCAAATCGTGGAGCAGGGAGTTGATGGATGCCTTCTGTCAAGCGTTTGCACTGAAAATACACAAAAGCTGACATGCATGATTCATAACTCCTGAAGTGTTTTGTGCAGACCTTGGCACACATTTAACCACAAAAATTCTGCAGTTTTTTTTTTTAAAACATAAACTTTTTTTTTATAACTGTAGCTGTGTAATTTGCTTTTCTTGCACACATAATGAATCGCATTGCTTTTACTTAAAAACTTAATAAAATAGGTTGAAAAGTTTATTTATTAGTTTTATTCTAAATGGTCAAGCCTTTTTGTGTTAATTTTTAGAGATGTGTTTTCTTTTATTTTGTTTTACTTTCAGAGATGCAGAGACATTTTTGCTCGACTCCAAAAAGGTCCAGGCATCTGATGGGGGGTGGTTAGTGTTCGACATAACAGCCACCAGCAACCACTGGGTGATGAACCCACAGCAGAACTTCGGCCTTCAGCTCTGTGTGGAGACTATAGATGGCAAGTGAAGTTATGATTTCTTTCTTTAAAAAAAAAATATTTCTCCTTTAATGTTTTATGGACTTATTTTAAACTTAAAAAAAAAGCTTTTACTTCATGACAGTCCACTTTATCTGCATTTAATTGTAAACACAATATTGTTTAATAAAACCTTAATAAAACGTGACCACAGATAAAAATGCGTGTGTTTGAACATGCTTGTTTTAACTTAAAGCTCATTATAAAAGCATCCATAAAAGTATGAAGTAAGCATTTTACTGTTGATTCGAAAGTTTAATTTACTTTCTGTTTTTGTAAAGGACGGAGTATCAACATTAAATCTGCTGGAATCATCGGGAGGAACGGGCCCCAGTCCAAACAGCCGTTCATGGTTGCTTTCTTTAAGGCCAGCGGGGTGTTGCTTCGCTCCGTCCGAGCTGCCGGTGGGAAAAAGAAGAACCACAATCGCAATAAATCCAACAATCAACAAGAAACATCAAGGACGCCAAAACCCGGAGGTGTGCACCGAGGTGTTTCTTTGTTTTTAGGGTTTCTTTCACCTCTTATACACTAATCATAGTGTTGTCTCAAACTTATGAAATATTTTATGTAATCATTTCTCTTTATGCAAACTGACATGTTCAGTGCTCACTAGAGAATTTAAATGTTTGGAAGGAGTTTTACTATCTGTTTATATTCTTTGTTCAAACATTGAAATTATTTGTATGTTTTATTGCAGTTAAAGTCCTAAATCCTTATCTTTTCTTTTTTATTGTTGAGCTTCTGTTTGCTTTTTGATATTTATTAATGCATTTTTAAACGTTATGTTTAGCTGTTACTATCTTGTATATTATTTCTAAGAATATTTGGTATAAAATTTACAGATTTATTCATTCCTGTCTTCAAATAATTGTATTACCATGATTTTTGCTGTATAAGTCACAGTTTTTTTGCACAAATTAGCATGCCTGCGACTTATACAGCGAAGCGACATATTTATGTTTTTTCCCCATATTTATAACGGAATTTTTGGCTGAGATCTGACGATTTCATTCATTCTGACATGGAAAATAATGACACTACCATTTTTAGCCACTAGAGGGCCTTGACCAATATGGCAAGCCAAGTGTTTCATTTATAGGCAAAAATGGCCATTAATGAGACACTTGGCTTGCCAAACCAAGCCATCTTTATCTTGCTCAGAACTCCTGGAGCAAACATCAAATCAGCTGCATTTTGCTGCGCCGCCCATGCGAAATGTAGCTGATTTGACCATTAAAGTGCATTTATTAAGGAAAAGTTCAACTGAGACACACCTTTACTATAATGTCGAGCAAAAAAAATTGTTTTTAGGTGGTTATCTTGTTAAATTTCACAGAAATGCACAGCGAGACCTCCCTCTGCGCGCTCCCGCAGCTGCAAATCAGCTTTTGAAATGCAGCTGATTTGACCGTCAAAGTGCATTTATTAAGGAAAAGTTCAAATAAGACACATATTTGCTATAATTTCGTGCAAACAAATAATTGTTTTTAAGTGTTAATCTTGTTGAATTCTTGGTAAAGTCCTGCCGTCCACTCTCCCACAACCGCCATTTGGCAGCCAATTGATTTTTGGCACAACACCGGCCCATGTTTCTGGGTGGTCAGCAGTGATGCATAATGGATGCAAATTTTACAGCGAAGCGACGTATTTTCTTTTTTTTTTCCACTTTATTAGACATATTTGGACTGATGCGACAAATGCGACTTATACGACGGTGCAACGTGTACGGCGGCAAGTAGGGTAACTAGAAAGTTCCTGGAAAAACTTTGGCGGGGACTGCCACGCTGCTACCAATTTACATTGCTGATTTGATACTAACACCTCACAAAGAAACCATAACTCCTACAGCCAAACCAGACATACTGGTCAAAAGTCGACAAAAACACCAACATATTGATATATAACATACAAGTATATCTTAAAAGATGTGATGGTAGGAAGAGTTTGTTCGATGACTTCCTAATTTTTCTTCAGGGACCTCTCCACTCTAGGTCATGTGACCTCAGAGCTGCATTTAGAGGGTGACAAGTGTTCCATTAGGTGTTTTGTATGGAGAAAATGGCATCTTTGTTTGCAAATAACATCGCCATGGTAACTCGAAATGCCAAAAAATTGTAATAGCACACATCACAGTGTCGAGCCGGTCGTCTTAACATTTGTGGGGGTATACATTGTGGTTCGAGCTGCATTAAAGTTGACTGAAGAGTAAAATATAAAGTTAGGAAACCCTTTGTTAGGTGGATAATAATAGGTGCCTGCCTTATAGTCCCCAATAAACTGCATATCAATATAACTCAATCATCTTGATAACGGGGCCTTTTTATTATAATTTTCTTCTTCAGATTATAACACCAGTGAACAGAAGCAGGCCTGTAGGAAGCACGAGCTGTACGTCAGTTTTCGAGACCTGGGCTGGCAGGTAGGACTCACACAGTAACAAATACTTTATAAAACTATGAAAGAATCCATCTGGATTACAAGTTATTGGCCGTAAATACTTGTTTTGTGTGTAAAGGACTGGATTATTGCACCTGAGGGATATGCAGCATTTTACTGTGATGGTGAATGTTCGTTTCCGCTCAACGCTCACATGAATGCAACAAATCATGCAATTGTGCAAACCCTGGTGAGTATTATTTTCTACTGTTATAAAATCATATTATGAGCTCATATCGCTCTTACTATAAAACGTGAATTGAAAACTCATTTATTGCTGGATCTTTTACACGTCATTCCTAAATTTATGCTTATATTCTCATTTATAGGTTCATTTAATGTTTCCAAACAATGTGCCAAAGCCGTGCTGTGCCCCAACCAAGCTCAACGCCATATCGGTGCTCTACTTTGATGACAGCTCCAATGTTATTCTGAAAAAATATAGAAATATGGTGGTCAGGTCTTGTGGGTGCCATTAGTTTCGAGGGGGGTTAATTTATAGTCTGATAAGGGAAATGCTGGAAAATGCATCTTCTGCAGGTGTGATGTGATGTACAGTATTATGTGAATAAAGTTGTCTTGCTTAATTTATTTTTCATTTTATAAAATAGCACTGAATATTGTAATATTTAAATCTTTAGCTCAAATGGTTGATTTTTACGTAACACCTTTTAGTTTCCGTGTCCACTGGCATATACTGTTGTCTACATGATATATTTTATGCGTAAACAGTTCACTGGAATTATATATTTTTTCTTGTTTTTCACTTTTTAATGGAAGTGTGCTGTAAATATATGATGACTTAAATTTGGTGGTAAAATTATACACTTTGGTGCTCATTTTTATATGATCTAATATGCAATAAAGGATTGCTTTATATTATTAGAGACATAATACGTTTTTAAAATACAGATGCAGGAGGTAATATGAGCACATGGCCGATGTCAGCGCGATGCTTTTAGGATAAAAATCACAAACTGAACAGGATGTTGAAAACATTTGAAGTCAAATTGGATCAGTGGGAGTAACAAATGTGTTTTCTATTATGAGCTAAACTGCCTAAAGATATTTTCAAGCTGTTTGCTTTTATACTGTCTCACCCAGTTCAAGTCAGATATGTATTTTTTGTTTTTAACAAGACAATATGTCCCACGAGGAGATTTTGTTTATTCTGCAAAGCAATAAGTATACTGTTGATTCTTCAATGATGAAAGTTTACCCTTTTTTTTTTTTTTTTACAAAGTTTGTGTTAATCTTCAAAAACACAGTATCTCATTTCTCTGTGGACATTTTCCCAACTAAAAACATCATGGTTTGAGAAGCATAATTTAATAATATAGTCTTGTGTATTTTAATAAAGGTTCCATGTTTAAAAAAAAAAATAACTTTGCTTGGCTTTAATTTGACTTCTCAGTTTTCCCTGCTCCATTTATAAACCTAAACTAAATGTATGTTTAAAATAGCTCCGAGAATAAAAGCAACCCCCACCCCCTCTTATGGAGCCATCCAGATGTAAGTCCTCCAGCCTTGGCCTTTTTTGCATTTCTGTTTGGAGATCTGTGGCTGTTTAGCATTCTGTTGCCGGACTACCGTCTCAGATTTATAAATGTTTAACAAGCGTGGCATAAACTGTTGACGTGCTCTGGATGAGCTGTAATGCTAGTAGCCGAGTGCAAACACTACAACAATGTGACCTCTAAAGCCCGCCTAAAATGTTGGTTATCATCCATCGCATCAGTATTTATGTTTTGTGTGCGGTGTACCTCTGCTTGTTAGCATTTTGTAAAATTATATTTAGCACTTAGTCATTTATTTAAAGTCAAGACTAAGAACAAAGAGTAAAGCATAACCAAGATAGAGAGAAATTAATTGCATTTTTCCACCAAAGTTCAACCAGGTCATCTGGATGAGTTATTTTTTGTTGTTGTTGTTGAAACGTTACGTCTTTCATCCAAAGGACTTCGTCAGTCCGAGGAGCCACAACAAACTCAGTCCCACTAGCAGCACACTCACATAGTGGACCAACCAGTTTGCTGGTGAAAAGATGGTTTGGATGAAGGATGAAACGTCTCAACAAACAAAAAGAAAGAAAAAAAAAAAAAGAAAGAAAGAAACCGTCCAGATGACCCGATTGAACTTTGTTGGCTTTTCTTACCTAAATGATTGAGCAAGGGCTTTGATGTTTCGAAACACTTTGGCTATGGCTGCCTCAGAGGAGTCGACAGGGGAGAGGGTGGGCCCTTCAAACTGATTGGTCCACTGTGTGAGTGTGCTGCTTGTGGAACTGAGTTTGTTGTGACTCCTTGGACTGATGAAGTCCTTTGGATGAAATGTCTCCAAAAAAAAAAAATGTCCAGATGACCTGACTGAAATTTGTTGGATTTTTTTATACCTTGATTATTGAGCATGGACTTTGATGTTTCGAAACACTTTGGCTATGGCTGCCTTAGAGGAGTCGACAGGGGAGAGGGCGGGCCCCAGAAACCATCTTATCACCAGCAAACTGGTTGCCCCACTATGGGAGTGTTCTGCTTGTGGGATTGAGTTTGTTGTGGCTCCTCGGACTGATGAAGTCCTTTGGATGATGGACTAAACGTCTCAACAACAAAAAAGAAACCATCCAGATGACCTGGCTGAACTTTGTTGGATTCTTTACCTGGATTATTGAGCATGAACTTTGATGGTATTGCATTTTTCCACCTTGCTCGGGATAAGGATAACTTCCAGTGGATTTGTGCTCGTTCTAATAAAGTGCTTTGATTACCAAGTGATTTTCAATGATTCTGGAAATGTAGGGATTATAAAGTATTAATATTTACTATAGAAATAGTGTTGAACTTCTCAGAAAACAGAATATGAACTGTTTTTACCTCCTCCCATCATCTCAATGTTTTTTCTTCACATGGCAGAACATTGAGCAACTGTATTTGACTTAATTAAAAGCAGTGGCTTTGGCCTGCCCAGATGTTATGTGGGCTCCATCTTAAAGGAGTGTTGACATTTGGTGAATAGAAGAGGCCACCTGCTAGCTTAACTCTTGGCTTGAGGCGTGATTTGCATTCCTGCGGCCTGTTGCCTGGCATGATTACGCCTTGCACTCAACAATTCCACCTACTGTTTTATTTCATGGATTCCGTCCAAATCACGCACATTTATTCTTCGTCAGAAATGTAGTGACATGAGCAAACTTCTGTTGAAGTCCGTTTAACTGTCAGATGTAGGTTGTAGTAAATTAGAAAAGCATTGAATTCATGTGATCAGAACAATTAGAGGGCACAACTCTGTTACTTTTCGTAACAACTGACTTGTACTTGTTTTTATATTCATCTGTCACACTCCATATTGTGTATTTAAAAAAATTGATGTATATTCTGGATTTTTCTACCACAAACATGTTTATTCATTTTTTTTTTTTTTTTTTCCTTGAGTGATAAAACAGATGTGTTCCTGTCAGCAGCTGCAAAGAACACTTTTTTTTTGTCTCCAAGCAAATAAATATAAATAAATTCAATAAAGCAAAACTACCCTGACGCTTTTAACAGGCTGGGCCCTGTTGTCTGTCACAAATCACAAACACTTGATAATTCACGTCATTCTGTTCTAATCTAAACCCTGGCCAACAGGAAGTGGATAAATAAGCACCACAAAGTTAATTCTAAACAATGACATAACCAAACTAATCTTGTCAGACCACCGACAAAGATGCTGCAGGCCACTCGGAGATGTCCTGGACGATATGACAACAGCAAATTCAATCACAGATCAGGCATCATTTTGTATTTTCCTGTCTCTTTAAAAGTAAATAAAAAACTATGCCTTAGCCTTACCTTTGAAAGTAAATACAAATATCAATAAAACTTAGACACACACGGATGTAACTGACAAAACTAAGACACATTTATTTACAGTCTTTATGTCATTATTGGTTCTGACAATCAATATTACCATTAGCTAAAGAAATAACCTTTTCTGTGAATAAGAAAGCTAAATGCTAAACGAGAGCTAAGATCTTTTGAAGAATGAATACCGGTAGTTAGTTGAACTGTTAAAGTTAGAACAAGCAGAACAGTGCCTAAAAGCTAAAATTAACAAAATAATCGCTAAACGCTTATATTAGCTAAACTGTAGCTGAAAAATAAAATCAGATGTAAAGTTGCTAAAAATTGAAATGCACAAGATTTCAGCTAAGCTAAACAAAACAAACAAAAACGTAGCTAAAAATGACAAACTATCAAAACAAGTTGAAAGCCAAGAAAAGCTCAATTGTAGCTTAATGTTAAAACTAATAAAACAGTAGCTGAAATGTTAGCTTAAAGCTAAATGTAGACAAATTTTAACTAAAAGTTATTGAATAAAATATTGCTAAAAGTTCAAATGAGCAAAAGTGTATCAAAATCTAAAATTTGCACAACTGTTGCTAAAGGCTCAGTTTGTCAAAACCATGAATTAAACAACGTTCTAACTAAAAGCTAATATAACCAAACCAGTAAAAAGCTGAAAGTAGCCAGTTCCTAAAAGTTTAATAGCTAAACTGTAGCTAAAAGCTAAAATTAGTAAAACAGTGCAAATATTAAAAGAAAAAGAAAAGAGTTTCTAAAATATAAAACGAGCATAAAAAGACAAAAATAGAAAAAGTTGAAGTAGATTTCAGAGAATAATGTATTTTTAGCAACTGAAAATATCTCATTTATTTAACATTTCTGTAAATCAAGTTAAACAATTCAAAAAGGATAAATGTTACAAGTTTTTAAATCATAGCACATTATTCCAGAATAAGCTAATTTTGATATAAGATTTACAAATTTGAAACGAGGCATCATCTGATGAAATGTATGGAAGAAAACGTGAATATAATAACCACACGTATTGTTAGCTCTCGGTCAGGCATCTTCACTGAGTGACATGAAGATTGTTTAATGATTTGAGGAGACATACAACAATTACAATCAGTTGTCCATTTAGTTTATTTATTACTACATTGCGTTGTATTTTCCTGTGCTAACCAAGGACCTTTTTCTTTCCATGACTCTAAGTTTATTTGCAAAGTGTCACCTAGCAGTCCATCCACAAGGCCAGTGAAACTGTATCTAATAAAAATGTTGTGCAGTTTACCTTATTCATCTCCCCACATATGGTTCTCCTTATTCTAATTCTGTGGGTGGGCTGTGACTTCCATACAGCTCAATCAGTCCCTCTTGAAAAAGGAAACCATATGGGTCACATTTTTTCATGTTGTTTGGTATGACAAGGCTGCGGCAAGACAGCGAGGAATGTGTCCTCACAGAGGGCAGCGCTGAGAAGTACTGCAATGTTTGCTTGTTATTCACATATGCGCATTGACTTCCAGAGTCAGGGAAGAGATCGTTTAGAGTTCTCAGTGTTACAAAAGGCTGTTTGTGAACCCGACTGTCACTTCCCATTAACATTAGAGCTGGCACCTGTGGATTCAAGCAGTTTCTAACTTTAAAAATGTGTAGTAAATTTG